AAAACACCCCCCATAAAAAAAAAAAAAATTAAATTCACAGTTTAAAAAAATAAAAAAAACTCCCTTCCCCCCCCCCCCCCCCTTTTTTTTTTTTTTTTTTTTTACCAAAATGAAAGCCAGACTCGCCATCATCATCAGCACTGCAGTAACACTGCAGAATGTCATTGATATTTTTGGCTGGTTCTGTGTTCCTGGCTGAACCACCCACACAACACCCAATGACCACACACACACACACACACACACACACACACACACACACACACGCACACGTTTACCCAGACAATCCACTGGCTTTTCTCCAAAGAAACTAATTTCCAAAACTAATCCACCACTGAGATTATTTTTAAGTGCAAAGCAGGAATAAAGAGAAAAGTTTCTGGTCTCATGTATGATGAATGAGCCCGGCCACATGGCAGACAACCGCAGCTTTGAAAAATGTGAGTTTCTCGCCGGCTGGATGAAGAGGGGGCTGGGTGTGCGCACACCTACTCAAATCCACCTGCTCCGAGGCGAAGCCGAAAGTCACCTACTCCAAACGCACTCCGCTGCAATGACACCTCAACTTGTCCCAGTCAAAGTATAAAAAAAAACAACAAAAAAAACATCCCCATTTAACGTTTTCTCATTCAGTAAATCAGAGCATCATAATCCCCAGTAGCCGGTGGCGGACTCACCTGCGTCGCAGCTGGAGTGAAGGAAGGAAGGAAAGAAGGGTGTGTGTGTGTGTGTGTGAGTGTGTGAGAGGGAGGGGAGCTGGATGTGAGGGTGTTGCGAGTCGATGCAGCAGGATAGCGGCACGCCGTCTCTCCGCTTTGCCTTTGTCTGCTTCAGTCTGAGAGCCGAGCCCCGCTGCCTGCCTCTCCGGAGCAGCCACTGGGTCCTAAAGAGCTGCGGAGCCGCCCACCGTGGAAATAAAGGTGCGAGTGAGCGTGGGCTGGAGTGGGTGGAGCTGAGGTCAGGGGTCACTCGAGGTGTAGCCGGTCTGACCAGGAAAGTCCTGCATGGATTAGAGGTTTTGTTCAGTTCTGGTTGGGAAATGAAAGTGGCTTTTATGCAGTGTTATGCCTGAGTAACCTCACCCAGGACTTTATTATTATTATTATTATTATTATTATTATTATTATTATTATTATTATTATTATTATTATTATTATTATTATTATTATTATTTCTTGGGTTTTTTTCATTTATATTTGCATGAAAAATAATGACTAGTTTTTAAAAATTATTTTCAAATAGTTTCCCACTCACATAGAAAATATTTGTAGCCCCAAATTATTCCCACAACTGGCAGATTTAGATTTCACATTATGCTTTTTTATTGTTATTTAGACCAATGTTTGTTTCTGATAGTAAATGAGATATTAGTTTTCAAAATGAAATAAAGCAGTGTACGTAGGAGCAGGTTTTAGCACTTTTTTAAAAAAAAATTATTATTATTTTTTTTTTAATTTAAAAAAAAATTAAATTTTATTCTAAAATACCAGATCATGAATTATTCATGTCCTTCTCCGACTCAGAAAATTGTGTATCTGGTTACTTCAAATGCATACCTGCCAGGAGTATGAATAATTTTGGTCTTACGAGTACAAAGTTATAAAATGATAATTGTGGTTCACATGTTTTACCATTTTCTAATATTCAGTGCAATAAAAAAAGTCTCTCTGATCTTTAACAGCATTTCTACAGAAACAACAAAAATGTTGTTTTTATCAATAGATAAATAAAGATCTGTCAGTACAACTAGAAAAATGACAGATAAGGCTCATACACTTAAACAGGTTCCTTCTCACCACCTCATGATGCTGCCACTTCCATATTTCCTAATTAGGAAGATTTGCAGGCGTTCCCTTTTTTCTCCAAATATAAAAATGATCATTAGGGTCAAAAACTTGTATTTAGTTTCTTCAATTCCCAGGACATGGTCACCAAAAACGAAGGCGTTTCCGAGTGCATATTCAATCTTTGGTGTGGTTTTTACTTTTGGTTTTGGAGTAAAGCTTGTTCGCTGTTTGTCTTGGTACAGAACTGGTTTCACTTTGGGTTGTGGCACATTTTCACCAGCCTCGATCAGCCGGATCTCTAAAAGCTCTTGCTTTTGTTCCGGAGTGAAAACGCACACTTTACATTGAAACGTGTGTCTCGTATTCCATCACTGAACAAACAGAAATAATTTGGGTAATCGCATCTGACCTAATAAGGACAGATTCTGTCTTATTTGACGTCAGACAGCGAGAAAAAGATATTTCTACACAGAATCTCTTAGAACATCTTCTGTTATGTAAACGGTCCATCAACCAGCCTTAAGGAATAAAAGACTGAACTACTCGAAAACTGAAAGTTGTATCCTAAGCATAAATAAATTGGCTACACCTGAAAAAGTAACTTTTGAAAAATGTAATTTTGTTACTATTGGTAAAAAAAAAAAAAGTTAAAATGTAATCAGTGATGTCCACTTTAATAATCACATGGATCAAGTGACACGCTAAAGTCAAATTTAGTGACTTATATGTAGGCCTATCACAATAAGCAATAAATCAATTAATCAGTTAATTACATGATAAATTAAAACAAGCTTAATTTTCATTTGTGTATTTTGCAGTTTTTCTCTTTTCTCTCTCAAATTCTGGATGACAAAAGTCTCAACAAAAGTGTTTTGGTCTCAGCTCTTATTTTGAAGGACAATTTTGTTTACAAAGACCTCATAATTCATTTTATTGGTGGATTTGTTTATTTATTGTGGATATTTAAAATGTGGACATTTAAATTCTATTATATCATACCATTATATTACTTGGAAACTGTCTTAAAAAAATTCCTGTTAATTGCAATATCTTCTGGGACAATTTATCATACAGCAGAATTTGTTATTGTGACAGACCTATTTTCATGCACCTATCAACACCCACACACACATAAATAGCCTTTACGTAGCCGTCCGCCGCAGAGACCGGCTACTTAAAGCATCGTTTCCTCTTGGATTTCAGATTCTGATTTCATGCTAACTCACCAGACTGATGAGAAGCTGCAGTGCATCCCTTTAAATAAAACCACACATAGATACAGCGTTGTCGGAGCTCTTTGTTGGGAGCACATGAAAGCCGGATTACCTCATCTCTTGTGCCCATCCCTTTTCTTGTTGCACTAAAGAGCCGTTTCATTCTCACTGGTCCGTATGACTTGTGTCCTCTACCGGTAAAAGCTTGTGAAGGACCTCAAAGTTGTTCCTGGTACACAGTCTGCCCGCTTTCTTATTGTTGCTTTTCACAAAAACATGGGCTCTGTAGTCTGAAAATGTTTCCCATGGCTTCAGCTGGACCTTATTGTGTTTTGCCTTTGGTGAGTTTATGTTTGCTTGCAGAAACAACTAGTATGATGAAATATTAATGATGGGAAAAGACAACCAGTTCCCCAATAGAAGGGCTGATTGAGTGTTTATGCTTGGCTACATGAAAGAGTTAATACAAAAGACGCATCAAAGTGATATCATGTATAGATGAGGCTATAAAATATCTCCACAAAGGTAACCACATGAAGAGAATTATACATAACTCTCAGCAATTATAGGCATCTCAGAAAAAGATGTATAAGAAGCCATAACATAACCAGACACCGAAATTAAAAGTCAACCTTTAATTTCAGGTTATTAAGAAATAATTTCCTGGAAAGGCAAAAGAACATGTTATTCAACTAAGGTATAGCTGTGTTAATGTTTATAAGTCAGACAAACTCTTCTCAGCTAAACCATATCTACATAGAGAATACTGCTCTGACTTTAATCGCTCAATATCTGGAAGAGTGGAAAACACGGACTGAACAACTTCGTCCACTTCGTCTACTCAAAAACGGCGCAGAAACTCTGATCGCTGGTTGGTCGAGATGAAAATCCATCCTGATCGAGATCAATGGGATAAAGTCCAGACGAAGCACAGGAGGGGAGATGAGAATCAAGAATTGTGTAGGAAGGCTGGATTCATAATCAGCCATTTCAGTCACCAGATCTAAATCTTACTTAAAAACCGGTGGAGTGAGCCGATGGGAAGAGAGAATAAGCAAGAGTCCAGAACAAAATGTGTAAAAAAGTCCCATCTGTCTGTGAGCTCCAAACCTGTGAAATGTGATAAAACAAGACAGAGTGCTGTGCAAAAAGAGCAAAAAGCCAACGCAGCAAAGGTCGACAGGAAAAAGAGATTTATCACCTGTGAATAAATGTACTTTATGTTCAATGTGCGATCATGATATTTTAAGGTTTGTTCACATTTTACCGAGGGTTACATTTAATTCATGGTGGATATGAGGTTTGAAACAAAGCCACAACACCATGAGGATTAAAAGACTCTGACATTGGCCAGAAATAAGATATCAGGTAAAACAAAACTGTAAACATTGTAGACGTGAAAATACATTTAAAATTAATATATAAAAACTAAAACCAAGTCAGTGGAAAACAGAACTTTATTTAGAAACACGTTAAATAAAAACATACCCGACTATAGTTTATGAAAAGACGTAAGCAAAAGCAAAACAAATTGACAGAACCTCATTTATTGTCTTGTTTTCTAAAATTTAAGTGTTTTCTGTTTCCCCTGTAAATTCTGAATTTAGGTTTCTTTGATATGTTTATGCATTTTTGATTTATTTTGTGTGTTTCACAGCTCAGGAGGACTGCAAGAGATATCCTGCTGGAATCCCTCTTAGCCTTGTAAAAACAGAGAAAGAAAGAAAGAAAGAAAGAAAGAAAGAAAGAAAGAAAGAAAGAAAGAAAGAAAAAAAGAAAGAAAGAAAGAAGAATGTGCTGGCAATATGAGAGCGGTATCACCTCAGATCTGTTTGTGCTCCACAGTCAGTTACACGGGGGAAGAAAGGTGAGATGTTCGCTTTACAGTGCTTACCTAATATGGGCTGAAATGTGGCAAGAAGTGCAACAGTGAGCCAAACAAAGCAAAACAAATGAACTCTTGTGTCAGGAAAGTTATTGCCTAAAAATGATTTGTGGGGCTGAAACAGCACAATATGAAAACCTGAAGATTCTGAAAGGAAAAAAAAGGTTCTCTTATTCTGAGGAAGATATTTGAGTGAATGAAATTTTTTTTTTTTTTTTTTTTAAAGCTCAGATTAACGTATGGGGCGTTTACTGAGTTTTGAGAAACCTTTTAAAAATTTCACAATTTTCAATAACAAGCTATGTTTATTTGCTAAAATTGGTGAAATTTTGCTTTTTCTGAAGTCATTTCATATCGAAATCCAAATTTTTTCATGAAAATTGACGGCAGTTGCTAATTTTATGCTTTACAACATTACCTCTGAGATGTCCTCCACTGCAGATGTGAGGATTTTTGTCGTTTTGTCGAGAGCCAATCTGATTTGTAGGACGGTAATCATCATTCGTCATTAATTAACCTTTCTCCTTTAACATGCCCGAGTCCCGTAGCTTTAACTTACAGCCCACATGCAGGTCTGAGTTTTAAAGAGGCTACAAAAGAAGCTGACTCTGTTCACAGCAGCAGGCTGGGGCCTCTTTGTCATCGTCTGCTCTCCCCTCAGGCAGGAAAGCTTCACTTTATAACTCAGCTGTTGTCACATTCTGCAGCCTCTCCTTTGCATGTCACACATAGCTCTAATTCACTCTGATCACGGGCTGCTACACACCTCCCTCTGCGAGCTGAAGCAGGGTGAAGCTTGTGGGGTTGGAGGCATCAAGCGGGAAGAAAGCAAATCTTGTTGTTTTGGCTCTCAGCTGGGCGCTGCGTTTCCTGGAGACTCCTGGAAGGGAAAAAAGCTCCAGGAATTTCCAGAATCTGATTCCATGTTTCCTTGTTGCTCGTCAGACTTTGTTATGAGGAAACACATCATCATTTTTTTATGTAAATGAAAAGCCTGGTGAG